AAGGACAAAGTCTGGCAAGTTTGTATGGAGCATGTAGGACTGGAAGATGCCAGTAGAATAAGTGTAGCTAGCATTTTATGAAAGTGGTACTTTGCAATTGGTTATGTTCCTGATGGCTGATTTGTGAAAGCATCCATAAAATGTTATCAGAATCTCAAACTCAAATCTCTAAAATGTTGAAGCTCTTCAAAGTTAGTTATATAATTTAAAAAACATGAGATACAGGTTATAATAGCAGTTGCTTACAAATAGATGGGGAATATCATCACTGAAGATTTGGAAGATCAGATAATAAATGGAATGAAATATCAAGGAAAACTCTCTCTAGACACAATTCAGACCAGGGCCACTGACAGACTAAACTATCTGATTTGTTTGAACTATTCTTCTCTTGTGGGAATGTTCTACAATTTCAATCAATTATTCTTTGAATATAACAGATGTTAAGCGTTTGTATTTGTCCAGTCACTTCATTGTGTTGTTCATATAGCACTTCATGCTAGAATCATCTACAATTTAATTATTTCAGTACCAGGTTGTGATCTTTCAACTAGAAAGTAACACCTAGTGATCTAAGCTGATCCCAGAAGCTAAAAAATTCAGGCCTAGTTAACATTTGGGTGAGAAACCACCAAGAAGGTGGGATATGCTTTTGGACTAGAAAGTCAAAAGCATATCCCAGAAGAAGACTGACAATAACAATTCATTTTCATGGTATTGTTAAGAAAATTTTGAGGGTGTGTCCAATAGTTATCATTAATTAAGGGTGATTGATCAGAGATCTTTACAAAGCTATTGTCAGCACTGGAATGAATGTAGTTTGAAGTGCTGACATCGAAACCTGACAGCTATAATCAATTATTAGGCCATCAAATTTTGCAATGTCCCTAAATTTCAGTGTTTGATTCAAATACTTGAACATTAGAATTACCTGGTGTTTGAAGAAGAAATCCAGTCAGATTTGACTTCAGGATTTGGATGTGATTTTATTCATTCATTTATATGTATCCCACCTTTATTATTTTTATCAATATCTCAAGGTGGTGAAAATACCTACTATTCCTTCCTCCACCTATTCCATGTCTGCTGCCTATATGATGTTCAGTTTTCTGCATCACAGTGGAAGATGAATAGTCTAATGAGGGAAAAGATCCATCTTAATTCAATAATGTTAATCTTAAACTTAGAAAAGTAAGCCTTAGGTAACACATTTTTGTTCTGTGTGTACTGTGTTTGACTTCAGAATGAAAATAAAAAATCCAGTGTGGGAACAAAAATGATATGGTCATCAGGATTATTTAAACATTCTTGGTCCTCTTTCTCTGGCCTCACATCAAGTAATATCTCCCGTCACAATATTCCATTTCGGAGAAAGTTTAGAGTAGAATATTTTCATAGCAATAAATTAGACAAGGTAATGTAAGCATCTTTCTGATTCTGCTTTCTATTTTTTTTCAAATTCTTCCTTAATTCCTAAACCAATTAAAATGTTTTCACTTATTTCAGATAAATTTCACTTATTCCAGATATCTCCCATCACAATAGTCCATTTTAGAGTAGATCTAATCAGTCCTTGCCCTTTCCATTTTATTTATAAGTATGTGCAGAAGGACCTTCATCTGGATCATGGCTTTCATTCAGAGAGGGGGGAAATTTGATTATCTGCTACTTTATCATTATCTTTTATTTTTCATAAACTGTACGTGTCAGATTCAGAACATACATTTTTTCTATTCTCTTTCCAGATTTTCCTTTGGAGCACAAATTAAAACTGTAGGAATTTTTTAAAATGCTATTATTTTGATGAAATCTAGCACTAGGAGCAAATTTATCAGTGACTATATGGCTATGTTTTTTAAACCTAGGTATCCTATGGTTTCAGACAATAATGCTATAGAATATTTAGAATAATTTCGGCATTCTTCGGCAACAAAATATATGTGAATGAGTGTTTGTCAACTGTAATTTGTTCTACTTGGTGACACTAATTAGCCTTTCATTAATACCTCATTTATATTTTGTGCATGTACCTATCTTGGCTTACCTTGGATGTTAATATGGCATTTATATCTGTTTTGCTGATAGATTGAACTCTTGAGTGGCTCATCAGCTCCATGCATTTCTGCAACTGGACAGCTAATTTAGTATGCCTCAAATTATGGACCATAAACTACTTAATATATATCCTATTAACCTTCTGTATTGAGCACAGAAAGTCTATAGATCAGCAAAGTTCAGACTTTATCAAATTAGAGGACTTCATCACCCCAAGAGAATTTCCTTTTCAACTAATATTTGACAGTGATGCCTTATGTAATATTTTTGGACAATGATTTAAAAAAAGACAAACCATTCTTAAATAGTTGGACAATATTGGGTCAGTATAATACATTTTTATTCATATCATTAGGTAAAACAGGTTAATTCAACTAGGTTTTATTTGTAAAATGACCTAGAAAGCTTCAAAAATATGCTTTAAAGAATTTGTGAAACTTTCTAGGTCATTTTGCAAATAAAACCATTCTTGAGAAAAAAAATCACTGTTCTTCAATCATATAGATCAGTGGTGGGATTAAAAGGTTCAAGGTTGATTCAGCCTTCCATCCTTTCTAAGGTAGGTAAATTGAGGACCCAGTTGTGGGGGCAATAAGCTGACTTTGTATAAATATACAAAAGGATAAAGGCTATTGCTGAGCACATTGTAAGCCGCCCTGAGTCTTCGGAGAAGGGCGGCATATAAATCAAATTAAAAAAAAAAAATACTACCGGTTCTGTGAGCGTGGCTTGGTGGGCATGGCGTGGTTTGGTGGACATGGCTTGGTGGGCATAGCAGGGGAAAGATACTGTAAAATCTCCATTCCCTCCCCACTCCAGGAAGGCTAATGCAAAATCCCCATTTCCTCCTGATCAGCTGGGACTCAGGAGGCAGAGAATAGATCGAGGCAGGACCAGTCAGAGGTGGTATTTACCAGTTCTCCAAACTACTCAAAATTTCCACTACCGGTTCTCCAGAACTGATCAGAACCAACTGAATACCACCTCTGATATAGATTGATTCTTTTTTTGGGGGGGGGAGTCAGATTTTAAAAAGGTTGCTTTTAGAAAGTTTTGAATCTGAAATGTTTCTGGTGCTACCATTGACAATACTGTCTACTGTGGCATAATTTCTTTTCTTGTGTGTTGTCAGAAGTAGTGTTTTCCAAGCACTATTAGGAAAACACTATTGGAAGTCTATGTAGATGGAAATGAATGTGCAACCTTGTTTTAGAGGGGGCAGGGAATGGCAGGTGTACTGTAAAAATGTGTTGACTAAAAAAGTCAAAGGCTTTATTAGATTTCAATTCTAATTTTCATCCTATTTTTCAAGGCAGTTTCATATGGTATTTCTTTGTCCAATTTTATCCCCACTGTTTCAATCCTCTGAGACAGGTTGGGCTGAAAGATTAAGTTATACTCCAAAAAGCATCTGGTGAGTTTCTGTACCTGAGTATGAACTTAAAATGGTTCTCTTCAGTCTTAGTCTAATACCTTAGCTATTACATACCGTGTGTAGTACGTACTACATCTAAATGGAGTCTAAAACAAAATACAGACTGTATGGAGGGCTTTCATCCTTTTTCTAGGATATAATATTTCATCTCCCCTCTGTGCATTTTTGTTCCTTCCCTTGTTCAGCAGTCAGCCAATATTCTGTGGTCACTGCACATGATTCTCACTATGTTCATTTGGAATCTATTTCCATATAAAAATTGTTTTTGAAATACTGATGTTTTCATAAGCTTGCTGATCCCTATTTCTTGTGAGTGGATAGTACCATTTTAGAACGGGAGAGTGATGCTGTGACTATTTAGAAATTAGACATTTTCAATATGGGTTCCATATTGGTCTGGGTTCCAAGTAACACCCCCCCAACCAATGAAGACTCCAAGACCAGCAATTCCTCAAAATTCAATTTTATTAGAGATGTCATATTGGCACATCTGGGAAAACCCCGAATCTGAAAGCTCCCAGGTTTTCCCCACCCAAAGGAAAGTCAAAGTCCTTCCCCTGTACCCACATGTCCGTCACATGGTCCAATCAATCCACTGTCCCAATTGGAAATGCCTCCCAGTCACGCCAATCCAGGTGCAGGTTGAACGTCCTTGACTCCCAGAGAAAAGAACATTGTTATGGCTAAATACTTCTACCAACTCCATGCAAACCCCCCTCCCATTTTCCCCAGACTAAGTGTGGTAGCCCTGAAGATTCAAAAGTAAAGATGGCTTCCAGGGCTGACAAAGGTTTGTTTTCTAGAATTGGTGCAATGATTGAAGCCTAAATCATATTGTTAAAGTCTACTGACATATATCATTGGGAATCTGCACTAGCCATCTTTAGAGTTCATCATTTGGGGAGCAAGAGGAAAAAAGAGTCAGATTCAATCTAATTATTGAGAAGCTTTCATAATTATCTGGCACTGTGTTCACACATAAGAGAATGGTATTAGTAGACTTGAAAATCCTAAATTTTCAAAGATTCCAAAATAGTTTTAAGTTTGGGGAGGGAATAGAAGTCCAAGCTTCCAATCTTAATTCAAAGTGTTAATATAGAACCTCAATAATTTGAGAGCGTTCCACTCATCCAAGTATTAAGATCAACTAAGAGGTTCTTTTCTAAGAAGTTCTCTCATTATTGGGAGAAATACTTTATAAAGAATTACTGATTCCATTGATATTCTTTACCATGATATCTATGATATAGGCTAGGTAAGTGTTTTTCCAAACATATATACATAAAAAAGCCCAATGTTCATTGAGCATGTTCAGGGTTCTTGGAATTCTAATTGTTTACAGAAGGATTATTACATCCAAGAAATCTAGGATGGAGGAAGGGGAATAGAAACGAATGTCCAGAATCCTTTACAACGGTACCCCAAACAATCATATTTTGTTACAGGTGTTATCAATCTGCTCTGATATCCCAAAGATTTTTCATGTAACTATATAACTGCTATTTTTCAGATTCAACAAAAGATTTAATTGAAACTTGCTGTGCTGCTGGACAACAATGGGCTATTGATAACAATGAATGTATGGAAATTCCAATAAGTGGAACAAGTGGTGATATTTGCAGGTAAGTAAAATAAAAGTTTAAAAACAAAGCAAAACCCCAAGCACAAAAATTTGAGTTTACAAATATCCTGCACCCTATAATGTAATCAACTTGCTATTCTTTATGTCAGGTTGATACTAGGTGACACTACTGTCAGATATATTGTTTAGATTATTATTATGAAGCTTTTCAGATATTTTCTAATGATATTTGGGTTTAATGTGGCAGATATACTTAAATGTTATACTCTAAACATCCCAGATTTCTCAAATCTGTCCACATCATATTATGATAACTCTGGAAGAGGATTGTGCATTGTCAAATCTCCATGAATAATGTTTTTTCCCCCCTATGCAACCATCTGCATCTTATCCTTTACAACATACTAGCTGTCATGTGAAGGCACAGGATCCTTTTGTGCAAATTTTAAAAAGGCGTCCCTGAAATGGAGAGAGTTTGATGGCTCCCTGTGCCACCCTGCTAGCAAACAGTCTTCTCAGGGACACGCTGGGCCACTCAAATGTCTATGCTATTTGCTGAGCCACTCAAATGTCCTTCCTTCCAACGGAGGTGGTAGACCACTTTTTTGGTTTTTTATGTATGTATGTACATACATACATACATACATACATACATACATACATACATACACCACCGGTTCTGTGGGTGTGGCTTGGTGGGCATGGCATGCTTTGGTGGCTGTGGCTTGGTGGGCGTGGCAGGGGAAGGATACTGTAAAATATCCATTCCCACCCCAGTCCAGGGGAAGGTTACTGCAAAATCCCATTTCCTCCCGATCAGCTGGGACTTGGGAGGCAGAGAATAGATGGGGGCAGGGCCAGTCAGAATTTTTACTACCGGTTCTCCGAACTCAAAATTTCCACTACCGGTTCTCCAGAACTGGTCAGAACCTGCTGAAACCCACCTCTGATACGCACATATACACATATACAGTAAATATATTTCATATGAATATATATGAAGGAACAGAACTCTTGATCTAAAACAATAGAGGTATTTCAGTAAAGAAAAAGAAATCTAATTATTCTAGCTGTGAAGAGACAAAACAAAACAAAACACCACAGTCTAGCACAATGGGATTAAATTAAATTGTTGAAGTTCACATTTAAAATGTTGCCCTAGTAAAAGAGGTGTAGTATTTTAATGGATCTTTATTTTCATTTCATATGCCAGTGTCAGGCTGAATGCCTGCTCCTAAAATTCTGTTAATTTCAAAGCAGCTCACTGTAACGTAATTTACATTAAAACATAGCTAGTCTTTATATTGTGACTTTGCAGAAGAACGTGTCTTGTGATAAAAACATGGCACTCAGTACTATGACAGAATGGAGAGAATAAATACCATCTGCCATTCTGTCATGTGATCTTCCAACCATACAAACTATTTGTGATAACGGGAGGTAGGAAAAGAGCTTGGGACACACAAACAGTTTCAGGGGTTAAGAATCTGGCAGGGAGTTAGCTGTGTTGAGCTTTGAAGGGAAGAAGAAATAAAATGACTCGTGAATAAAGATGCCATTTGGCAGTCTTGGGCTGCTGAACAAACACAGATTCCAGGATGATTTTGGCATACAAATTGCTATCCAGGGAGGAGATTGACAGGACATGGGAACTATCTAGTTGGCTCAGATTTTCAGAGACAGAAAAATTCAATTCAGCCTAAAGAAGATCAAGGTTGTTGTAGCCATTGGAGATGGCTAGCAGTCAGGCTCTAGACATTTGGTTGCCCTAGGCAAAATGACCACCTGGCACCCTTTATGTTTTGGCTCATCTTCCAATTTTATTAGAAATTTCAAAAAGGCACTTCCTTATTTCTTTTTTTCTTTGAGTTTTTGAGCTTTATACTTCTGATTTTCAGCCCCAGATATATTTTCTTCATGGACATTTTCACCCTATTTACACAGCAAATAGTTTTAATTAATTAGCATCTATTGTTGTCATTGTTGTTTGTCATTGTACCGATTCCTCTGTCAAAAATCCTGAACAAGTCGGGCCATTCAAACCTCACAAACATCTGCCAAGCTATCTCACTTCCTTTACATGGATGATTTTACAGCTCTGTGGGAAAACATTATCTAAAATGGAGTCCTTGAATGTATCATTTTTTTCTGCTCTTTTTCGTATCTATGAGCTTTATCATAAAATGTAAATGGTACATGTTTGGGTTATAGCTTAAGGAGATATAAGGAGTTATATCTTCCAAACTCAGTAGTTTTGTATAGGTTTGATTTCTTCTCCATTTTTAGTGCTAACCACTGGCATTTTTATGCCTAAAGCAAGACACAAATTTGATTGTACTGACTCATAAAAAATATGGAAAAAGAACACTTTGGCAGAAATTGTAACTAAGTAAAATATATTTGGATATGATAAGTTGTATAAGATATGATATGGTCAATACTCTGTTTCATAAAATATGTGGGTGTGCATTGGGGGGGGAACCAATAAAACTTGATTCCTCCCCAAAATTGATTGTACTGACTCATATATAACATCTTCCTGCACCATTTAGGTACAAATTTCTGTGGTTGTGCTCTGTTCTATTTATTCAGAGAAGTCTAACCACCTGCTAGGTAGTTTATGTTAAGCAAAATGATATAAATAGAAACTGCCAGTTGTAAGACTTGGTATAAATATTCATTTAAATTTGAGATGACATATTTTAAACCTATACTGCTTGTATCCTATGCCTTCCATCTTCACTGTGTAAGAGTATTTGCCAGTAGCAGCCTGTCTCATGAAAGCAGTATATTTTTTTTATTTGTTGCAGAATTGCTCAAAAGCAGTGCTGTGTCTCGTATTTAAAGGAGAATAGCTGCATTGCTGGCATGATTGCTGCCAGAGAAGGTGATTTATGTGGATCAGATGAAAGCGATACCTGTGGAGGATCATTTTATAAGGCAAGATATTCTGCTGAATCTTTGTGGCATCCTTGCTAATACAAACCAGCTTACGCTTGTACCATTTTAAATTTAAATATATATATATATATCCTGAATTTTACTCAATTGCAGAGCATCATGGGTAGGAAATGATTTTAAAAAGTTACTTAGCTAAGCAGTTTGGCTGTTAGCCTCTATTTCAGAGCTTAGGCCAGATGTACAATTTATCTAGCTGATAAGAATTTCATTAGCGCTTTGCTTAAGCAGTCTGTCTCCACTATTATAGTTAACAGCATGACAGGATTTTTTTTTTTTTAAAAATGATCACATTATAGATAAATTGTTGAGTTCCATGTGTGGTTAGACATATATATTGGCTTAAAAGTAAACCGAGCAATTAAACTAATTTAAACTTTAAAAATATTTTATCTGATTATATTATTCTTTGTAAAGGTGGTGTCTGGCAAAATCTGCAATACAGCTTAGTTTCTGCAAATCAAGGTCTGACTCCTTACATGTGAAACCTTTTCTTCCAGATCTTAACCATATTTAAGATTTCAAAATTAATACTGAGCACAGAATAATTTTGATTGATTACAGTTGGTGTTGACTCTTAGTGACCATTTACCCTGTTTTCCCCAAAATAAGACCTATCCGGAAAATAAACCCTGTGACGCTTTTAACGCATGTGGCTAATATAAGCCCTACCCTTGAAATAAGCCCCACTTAATTGCCTGTGCAGCTGCCCGTCTGTCCATTCTGTCTGGTTGCTTGTGGTGCCACTGACATGAGGTCAGGTGGAGGGAGGTGGAGCTTCCCCACATGCCCCACACTGACTTATCTTAGGGCCCCCACAGCCAGGCCATCCAAGCTCTGACAGCTGCCTTTTGGTTGCGGCACTGGTATGTTGCTTGGCCTCCTGTTCCATTGGGATTGTGAGCAAGCAGAAGTGGGCCAGCGGCCACATGGTGTTCTGCTAGACAGGGCTGCCAGAGCCGCTGCTATGAGGCAAGGCAGGTGTCGGGCATGGGTGGTCTGGCTGTGGGAGCCCTGAGGTAAGCTGGTGCAGGGCATGTGGGGCAGCTCCACCCCTTGCCTTGTGACAGCAGCACTTGAACACCATGCGGCCTCCTGCCCCACCACAAAACAAGCAGAATATGGGCTTCCCATACATGAGAAAAAGTAAGACATCCCCAAAAATATGTCCTAGTGCTTATTTCGGTGCCCAAAAGAAAATAAGACTAGGTCTTATTTTTGGGAAAACACAGGTAGATTTTTTTCCCATCAGGATCCTGTCCCTGGTCCCTAATACTTTGCAATGGTGTACTTATTGTTACTTTTATTGAGTCCATCCACCTGGCTGCTGGTTATCTTCCTTTTTCCTTCATTTCACCTTTCTCAATGTTAGAGCCTGTTTGGGAGAGCTAGGGCTTTGCATAATGTGTCCAAAGTAGGATATTTTTATTCTGACAGTATATTTAGTCATTTGATTCTCACAAATATATTTTGCATAGCCTTATCAAGATATGCATTAACTCTGCCTCATTAGGTAATATCCAAATATCTTGCAAATACATTTATCAGAATGAAATTTATATACACTGGTTCATGGGGCAATTCAAGCTGTAATTACTGAATGATTTATTGAAAATATTATTTAATGTTTTCTGAAACATGAACAAATAGTAAAGCTATAGATATCCATATGGGGCCAAGGATGAAATGTGCTTTGTGACCTTAGAATGGAAGCTCCATCTTTGATGTATGTGAGTGTGATGTCCTGATGCAAGTCTGAAAGAGTGGGGCTGTGCTATGGTCACAATGCATGTTTTGCCTATTTGAGATTATGGTGGTTATGGATGGATGCCTAGAATAGAATAGAATAGAATAGAATAGAATAGAATAGAATAGAATAGAATAGAATTGAATTGAATTGAATCGAATCGAATAGAATAGAATAGAATAGAATAGAATAGAATAGAATAGAATAGAATAGAATTTTTTATTGGCCAAGTGTGATTGGACACACAAAGAATTTGTCTTAGTGCATACGCTCTCGGGTACATAAGGTACAACACTTAATGATAGTCATAGGGAAACAGTCAATATAAATCTTAAGGATACCAGCAACAAGGTTAGTCATACAGCCATAAGTGGGAGGAGATGGGTGATAGGAATGATGAGAAGATTAATAGTAATGCAGACTTAGTAACTAGTTTGACAGTGTTGAGAGAATTATTTGTTTAGCAGAGTGATGGCGTTCGGGGTGTCTAGTTGTTCTGATGTGCAATGCTCTATAGCGTCGTTTTGAGGGTAGGAGTTGAAACTATTTATGTCTAGGATGCGAGGGGTCTGTAAATATTTTCACAGCCCTCTTTTTGATTCGTGCAGTATACAGTTCCTCAATGGAATGCAGGTTGGTAGTAATTGTTTTTTCTGCAGTTCTAATTATCCTCTGAAGTCTGTGTCTATCTTGTTGGGTTGCAGAACCAAACCAGACAGTTATAGAGGTGCAGATGACAGACTCAGTAATTCCTCTGTAGAACTGTATCAGCAGCTCCTTGGGCAGTTTGAGCTTCCTGAGTTGGCGCAGAAATAACATTCTTTGTTGTGCTTTTTTTTTTTTATTGCAAAAGTTTTACAATTACATTTTCACCCCTTTCCCCCCCACCACCACCCACCCCAAACTTCCCAACCTCCCTAACCCTCCCCTCCCCCCAGACTTCCCTATATTATACTCATATCTGGTAAAAAAAAATAAAAAAAACCCCTTAATATAAAACTTATGTAAAAACTTGAACCCCTCCCTCCCCTTTATAATTTTTCTTTTTACCCTCATTACATTAAAATATTTCTAATACATTATTTTCAAATAAAAGCTATTTGATACTTTCTAGTTTGATATTTGTTCTGAACATATTCTATCCACTTTTTCCATTCCCATTCATAAGTCTCTTGTGAACAATCTTTTAAGTATGCTGAAATCTTCGCCATCTCTGCAAAACTGGCCATCTTCAAAGTCCATTCCTCAATAGTGGGCAAAGCTTCATTTTTCCAATATTTACCTATCAACAATCTTGCTGCTGTTATCATATACAATATCAGTTTTGTTTCACCCAATGTAAAACCCTTAACTATACCCAATAAAAACAATTGTGGAGAGAATTGAATTTTTTTCTTCAAAACATTCTGCTTGACCCACCAGATTTTTATCCAAAAAGCCTTAACTTTCCTACAGGTCCACCAAACATGATAATACGTAGCATCCAAACATTCACATCTCCAACATTTTGGCTGAACATTAGGGTACATACATGACAACTTTTTGGGATCTAAATGCCATCTATAAAACATTTTATAGAAATTTTCCCTCAAATTCTGCGACTGAGTAAATTTAACATTCTGAACCCAAATTTTTTCCCATGTTTCCAACATCACTGGTTCTTCAAAATTTTGTGCCCACTTAATCATACAATCTTTAACTAATTCAGTTTCTGAATCCCTTTCTAACAAAACATTATAAAGCCTTTTGATATGCATTGGACCTTTCTCTTTTATATGTCTAACCAATTCTTCCTCGTGCAACATAATACCAGTTTTTTGGTCCTCTTTCCATCTCAATTGTAATTGATTATATTGTAACCAAGTTAGATTAATCCCTTCGTCCAACAGTGTCTGCAATGTCTTCAGCTGCCATCTGCCCGCATCTGTAAAAAGAACCTCTTTGTATAAAAACCCCCCGAGTGACATTATATTTGTATTCCACAAAATATGACCAAGATCCAGCCATAGCGGTATTTTATAATCCCATTTGAATCGGTGCTTCTTCCAAACTCTCATCAAAGAGTCTCTAAGTATATGGCTTTTAAATACTTTATCAACTTTGTCATCATAAAATAAGTAGGCATGCCATCCAAATTCAAGATCAAAGTTATATTATGATGCAGCAGCTTTAACTTTAACAAGTGATTGGTTTGGAAGGAAAAAGGCTGGAATATTGAATGCAGAAAGCTTTGTTGTGCTTTTTTGATGACGTTTTTGATGTTAGGTGTCCATTTTAAGTCGTGAGATATGATAGAACCTAGAAATTTGAAGGTCTCTACTGTTGATACTATGCCGTCTAGTATTTAAGAGGTGGTAGAATGGGAAGGTTTCTCCTAAAATCCACCACCATTTCTACGGTTTTGAGTGTGTTCTGTTCCAGATTGCTCTGGTCGCACCATGAGCTAGTTGTTCAACCTCCCGTCTGTATGCGGGTCATCATTGTCTCAAATGAGACTGACACTGTTGTGTCATCTGCGAACTTCAGTAGTTTAACGGATGAATCATTTGAGATGAAGTCATTGGTATATAGAGAGAAGAGAAGTGGGGAAAGCACACAGTCTTGTGAGGCCTCTGTGCTAATTGTACAGATATCTGATGTGATTCTGCTTAGCTTCACCTGATGCTTCCTGTCTGTTAGGAAGCTTATGATCCATTTACAAGTGTGTTCAGGTACCGCTAGCTGGTTTAGCTTAGTTAGAAGAATGTATGGAATGATGGTGTTGAATGCTGAACTAAAGTCTACAAAGAGGACCCTGGCATAGTCTTTGGAGATTCAAGATGTTGTAGGATGTAGTGCAGAGCCATATTAACAGCATCATCTGTTGATCTATTTGCTCAGTATGCAAAGTGCAGAGGGTCTAACAGTGGATCCGTGATGGTTTTCAGGTGAGACAGCGCTAGCCTTTCAAAGGTTTTCATAACTACAAATGTTAGAGCAACTGGTCTGTAGTTGTTCAGTTCCTTGATGGTGGGTTTCTTTGGCACTGGGATGATAGTAGAGTGTTTGAAGCAAGAAGGAACATAGCACATCTCTAGCGATTTATTGAAGATGCGGGTGAAGATGGGGACCAACTGGTCAGCACAGACTTTTAAGCAAGGAGTTATCTTGTCTGGGCCTGGAGCTTTTTCTTGCTTTTGACTGTGAAATGATGATTTAGAGTAGAAGTCATTGTGATACAAATATATATTAAGCA